ACCACCACCACCACCACCACCACCACCACCACAGACTTCTCCCATCTCCCTCCCGTTCTTCCATCAACACGATCCAGAAAGTTCCCTTCATAGAAAGCCTCCTTATTGACAGGACACTCTGGCTCAGAACACCCTTCCCATGCACCACTCCATCCAGCGGTGAGTGATAACAACGCTGTTTGTGTTTAATTAGTCCTTGGGTTACGGGCAGTTTGTGTTGAGGGTGTGGCTGTTTTCGCTGGTTACAGAGTTGACAGAAATATGTGTATTGATGCGGGTCCCCTGTGTGTGCCCTCTCGGTGCTCTGGTCTGAAAGTTCAGCAGGCCCTGGTTCCAGTGCTTGTGGAGGCAAATTGCTGAAGCCTCCGGGATTTGATGCCATTCCATAAGATTGGAACAAAAATGCACCGTCTCCGGGCAAAGGTCGACGATGTTTATCACTCCGCTGCCGCTTGGCTTCACAGAACTAGAGCAGGGTCTAGCTTTGGACACTACTCCCCAGGCAGCTAGCTGGCCACACGCCCTGACCCTGCGAGTCATCTGTTTGTTCCCCGTATTTTTAAAATCATGTCTCTTGTAGGATGCATGTCCTGACTTACATTCACAAAAATAACTAAAATAGAAGCATGATTATAAAATAGTGGATTCCTGAAGACAAACATTACAGAATGTACGGTCATCTAAATCTGTGTCATCCTTTTCAAAATCATCACTTTCGAAAGTTAGACACACATTCCCAAAACGGCAGTATTTGGTAACACGTTTAAGGAATTCTTACCTGAGGCATGGTAGGTGCAACTAAGGGAAAGTGAAAATTTTCTTAATTTAAAATGAACATATATTTAGACGGAAAGCTCTGGTTTTCCTGTTCTTCTAATTTATGTTTATAGTCAAACCTAGGATAAGCATCGTAGTGCCAAATACATATAAAATATGGAAGTCATTTAAAAGATTTCTTTCTAATCTTCTTTTCCCCTTGAGTTTTGTCCAGCTGAATACTTAGTGGTGATGAATCTTCATCCTGAGGGTAATTTAGAGCTTGGGAATTTAATTCCACTATGTTGAATTCAGAAAGTATTCATTGAGTGTCTCTACATGCAAAGAGCTGACTAAATGGAATAAAAAGATCAACAAGGTATGTTTGGCTTGATTCTTTCTACCAGAAACCATTAGTTGATTCTGAAGGCAATACACAGGAGACTTACCAAAAATGTTTGAGCAATTGCAAGGTCATTGGGATAGGTGCCCTCTCCCTGGGGAGGCATGGAGGACACGGAGGAAACAATTGTGCCAATTACTGGATTATCAGGAAGATGAATACAATGCACACAATATGCTGGATAAAACTATTTTGTGACAACCAATAGCAGTTTTCCCAGTGCAGAAACTAAAATTAGTCTGGTGTTAAAATGAGAAAATAGGTAAGCTGCTTTTACAGTTCAGGTTTTCTTCAACAGTCCTGGTTGATTTCTGCTGTCTTGATGGAAGTATGGGTCCACTCTTCCCCCTGAAGGTATCTGGCCTGGAGGACCCGCTGATGCTGTGACAGTGACGGTGTTGCTTCTGACTCTCTACGGGGAATATTTCTGGTTAGTAGAGGTAACCAGGTCTGTTGGTCTATTTCTTGGTTCTGTCCCCACTTCTTCCCCATTGGTTAAGTCACACATTTTAATTACCCAAAGAAATAAGGAAAATCAATGAAGCCATATTCAACAGCAGCTTCTTATCAACGAAAGGCAGACGAGGGCCTAGGGAGACGGCTCAGAGGGTGAGCTTGCTGTGTGGACAGGGGGACTGAGTTTCGAGCCCCAGCACTAGATAAGAAGCCAGGCTTGGCAGTCCACACCTGTCGCCCTAGTGCTAGGGATGGAGGAGGCAGGTAGAGACAGGCGGGTCCCTGAAGCTCACTGACCAGCCTGTTTGCTAATAGGTGAGCCCACAAGTGTGCATGGGCACATACAGACACACAGACACAGATACACAGACACACACACACACACACACATACACACACACACACACATACACACACACACACACACACACA